ATGGGAGTGGAGGTGTGTGGTCAATGAGGTCATATCAGAAGCACCAGGCTTCTGTTTCTCTGTCGTGGGACGGATGGATTTCAATGTGAATGGGCACTTTTGCGGATGATGAAGTCGAATAGACTGCTGAGTCGATGTCGACGTTTGCCCTTGGGTGGAGTCGGCTCGACGGATTTGGTGTTCGATGGAGACGCATTCCCGTTTGCTCGGTCCGGCTGTGGTGGTAATTGTTGTTGTTGGGACTGCGGGCGAGGGTTTCTTGTACCTTGCGACCGGTCGATGTCCTTGTCTGGCGCTTGCTTCGAGACCTGCGCCTCGGACTTTCTCCGGTGGGACCAGCGTCTGCGTGTGCTCAAATCTTGTCGAGCCGGGGTGGGCGTAGCGTTGGTATCCGCGTCATGGACGGGCTCACGAGTGCTGGAAAGCGTGCTGTGGCGGTTGAGGCGGCCGAGGGTGCCAGAGGCACGTCGGTTGGTCCGCTCAATGAATGCTGCTCCGGTTGAGTTGGAACGTCTCGATAGACGCCCGAGCGTTGATTGGTCGGAAATTGTGTTGGGGGGTGATGACATGCAGCTGGATGTGGACATGCGGTGTTGTCTGCGGTTCGTGGCGGCGGGGCCTGTCGGATTGCTGACCTCTTCTTCCAAGGACCGATCGGCTTCAGCCCTAACGGCTGTCGGGGAGCTCTGTCGTGACGGACAGCGGGATCTGGGGTTGAGCGTCGAAGCGGCGTCGTTGTAGCTGAAGGTATGCGACCAGCCCTCTCGGAAGGCCACCCAGAAGCTAGTAACAATAATCAACATGCGTAGGTCGTCGTCAACAGGCATCCTTCCGCTCAATGGCTCGTCCATCTCCGAGAGGTCGCTAATCACCGACATGGCAGAAGTAGGGGAAGCGATCCCCGAGGTGGCCGGTATTGAGTACTCGTGGAATACCTCCAAATGGTTCCGGGTCATCGTGGCGAGGACAGGGTGACGGCGGGTGTTGGGGTTGATCACGCTGAATGTGAAGCGCTTGCTGTCTTCCTGCAGGCCAAAATCTAGGGGTGCCGATACACGACGGTTCTTGCTTCCCCGCAGCACCCATCGCAGGACCTGGATACCTTCGTCGGTCTGGGCCACGAACTCGTAGGAGCCATTGGCCAAAGGTGTCGCCTCCCAAACTGGTCCATAACTAAGGCAGATCTCCGCTTTGCCTTTCGATAGTGCATCATCCGTCAACAGCTGGCATATCGTTGCGACAACTTCACGGTGCTCTCCGTTTTCTTCATCGGAGCTCAGATGCCTGTCGGCAAAATCGCCTTGGCTCTGTTCATAGCGATCGCCGGTGACGACGATAAGGTCGTTGGGACCAAGCCCTTTTTTGCCGCGAAAGATGGTTGGGAATTTGCGGGCCAGTCTAGGCAGAAACACACTCGACGGGAGGACGTCCAAAATGGGTAAGGGACGCGGGGTTTGTGACACCTGTTGAAGCTGTAAGAGGAGCTTGGGTCGGAGTTTCAGTCGCCTGTGACGTGCGTGGGATGCGGGATGCGCTAATTGGTATGACGTTTTAGGTCGCGACGATGGTTTCCTAGTCGAATATGAGCGAGCGATCCTCGAGGAAGCTAGAGTCGGCCCGACGGTCGAATGCTCGTCATCGCTCGACAATAATATATGGTCTACTGCAGGTGGCCTCGACATTGCACGTGGTTGTTCTTGCAGCGGCGGCTTTTCTGTTTCTGTCACTTTGCGCCGGCCGTACAAGCTTCCCAGACCCCAGGTTGGTAGCGTCGCGAAGGATACAGGCGGCGAGGAATGGCGCGACGAGGTCTGGAGATCGGATTGGGGACCAAGGACGTCGCTGTCGTGAGCTGCTGCTGCATCCGCGGTCAATCCAAGGTTGAATAGCATTTCTTTTCTGGGCTTCAACCACGCCTATCGGTGCTCCGGACTACCATTGACCAGTAGTAGTACGGCGACAGAGGTGGAAGCGCGCCTATAGTTGGGTGATCGCGGACAATAGGTTGTTCTCGTTAAGAGCTAAATGTCGAAGCTTCGTTCAATTCAAAATCGAAGATGTGAGATGGTAGGAAATGGAGAAAGGAAAGTGCATCAGCAAAGAGCTGAATGAGAATGAGGATAAGAAAGTGATGATTGTTGGCCGTGGCCTGCACGACAATGAAAAGCTCGGTAGGTAGCAAGCGAGGCTGAGGCGGAGGCTGTGAAATCGGGTGGGGAAAGGGGAAAGAAAAGGAAAGGAGTGAGGTCAGAAGTGAGAGAGGGGAGAGAATCAAAGAATAGGAGGAGAAACGAAGAGTCCCGGAAAAGTTCAGGTCGGACAAACGTGGAGAAATCTATAGATCGTGGGACGAAGGAGGCAAAGGATGAGAATGGGCGAGAGAGTGGGTATGGGTAACAAGTATAAGGAGGAAGAGGAGGGAGGAAAACGAAGAAATACGGGTGTAAGAATGGATTGTCAAGTATACGTAGTAGTGCTGCGTAGTGCTGCTGCTGCTGCTGCGTAGTGATGGGGGGGGGAAGCTTTTCAGCCTTCAGCCTTTTTGCTAATTCAGCCTTTCGTTTGCTCGGGCAAGGGACGGTCGGCCTTAATAGTTAGAATAAGATCCCACTAGAATTGTCCACCTGGATGACTGCTGCATGTCAGACGAAGGAGATCGTGGATCAATAATGGAAGGAAGTGGTCAGTGGTCAGGATGAAGCACCGGAGGTTAAAGGAAAGGGTCAGTGTCATTCGGTAATTAATATAAGTATCATAGAAGTCTCATGAGGGGGGAACCTCAGAGAAGGGGGGGAAAAAAAGAGAGAAAAAAAGAAAAAAGAAATTTGATGATGGGCCAACGAGCCAAAGTAATGATCATTAATCATGGATCCAGTTGACTGGATTTATTCAGTTTTCCCCGATCTATCAGGATGATTTTTAGGTTCAAGGAACAAATCATACTGCTGCATTTATGGAGCTGTGAAGCGACCAGACTAGACGGCGATCTTCGGCACCCACACTTAACCACTATCCCTCTGAACTTGGTAGACGGCTCGTATCAATTTTTCAACATTTCAGCCCGTTACGGAGCCCTTCCTCCGGTAGCTCTGGGGCACAATGAGTTAGCGAAGACACAAGGAGGGGCAGGTAGGTTTAAGGTATGTACAGTACAGAAGTAGTCAGTAGTAGTTAGTTAGCAGTCTAGCAGATGACTACAGTACTGTACAGTAAGTAAGTAAGTCACATCAGTACGTACAGGCAAATAACTAAGTTACTAGGTACTAAACAACTGAATAACTCCGCTGGCGTTCGGAGGTGGAGGAGGTGCAGCAACTTCCGTCGTCCGTAACTCTGGGCGGAAGAACGGATTTTGCAAGACCTTCTCCGTCACGGAAGCCGGAAACGCCGACTTGCCGTCTTCTGCTTCGGAGCCTCGGCCTCGCAACTATCCATGGTTTATGTCAGAATTCGACTGCCCCAGAAGCATAAGGCTGAATTTGCCTGTTTACTGTTTCTCGGTTTCGACGACGAGCCCGGCTGACAGATCATCGCCAGGAATCACCTAGATGATACCATACAATTAGAGTAATTCACTCTTAAACTCTTACTGAGTGTCCCCACTGATATCCTATGACAAATCTGGACAACATTTGACTAATTACCTGAAGGATTGCAAAGTTTGGATAGTTGGTCATTTTAACTGCCTCATTGTAATCCCGCATAACTACTACTACTCGAGAAAACTCGTGAGAGAAAATTAGCTGCCCGCCTGCCACAGTGCCAATTTCCAACTGCCAACTGCCAACCGACTCTGACCGAGTTCGTTTTCTTGGCTGGGCCACAGTGCTTGGCGTTGCACTTAACCACAATGAGGGTCTAGTCTCCTTCCTAGCGGAAACTTCGATGGCGAATTTCTTTATTTCGCGCAAATTTTCCTGTGCAGGATCGTGGATCTGGCCGGAAAGTCGGTCTGTCCAAGCAATTGACTGGCCAGTACCTGAGTGAGTATAGATAGATAGCTTCTGATGATCAGCTATTTTGTAGCAGTCAGTCCACGGGGCAACCCGAGCTAATCTCCTCGAGTATCACTTCAAATTCACGGCGACAGATGGGCCCATCGTATTTCTTTTCAATGGATTAAGGTGGCCACTGGTCGGTACAACAAGCATTCCGCGTGATCAAACAGTGGGGCTTGAGCTCAGGAGGATCTTGAACAGAGGTTGCATCAGGGCGATATATCCAGCAGAAATTGAAACAGAGGTACAGTAGTGCATGCACATTTACAAAGTGGTGTATCGAATACTGGCTGAGTATATCATGCATTGAGCTCCTCATCATGAGAACCTATGGCATTGGCACGGAAAAGTTTTTGCATCCAATGACCTTCAAAACATGCTTGCTTTAGTTTCAACATAATGGTTCAGGTTGACTCAGGTTGGATGAGTACCTAGGTATGGCCGTTGACCTTCCCTATCGAGGATGCCCTTGACGTGCTGCTTGCGTTACCGGAGATTCGAACAACAGAACACTCCAGATGAGAGGGTTGACCCAGTTGATCCGGTAGGGCTGACTTCCAAGTTGTCTGAGCCTCCGAGGGGGGGAGGATCCATTGGAGGAGGGAGTTCTCACTTTCAAAAACTTTCTCCGCGATCCGGAGAACCTTGTCCTCTGACATCATCATTATCATAAATGGATATGATACTTAGTACACACCATGTACTGTAGTCTGACGAGTAAATTGGTATAAACCCCATCCCCGCTTGTCTATTTCTTGGATGTACTACTCAGTACTACGTATGTACTACTATGTATCAGTAAACTACTAAATTATTACACTAGATCGTACTCATATCACTGCGATGGAAAGGGACGCCACCCTCGCCATCAGGATGCAAGGCATTACGTATTTGTGCACCGCCATATGCTGAATAAGACATGGCTATGCTTGCCGAACTTTCCGTTCCGTTTAGCCACGGCTTGGCTCAACGCGTCTTTAATCATCCCTCCATGCTCACTTCTTCATAACTAATACATACTTACCTACCACCTCCACTTACCTCGGTTACTTGCCATCGTCCCATGATTAGAAGGTAGTGTGAAGTCCTGCGTTAGACCATCACACAGGATTCATCGCGTTATCCTCGATCGAGGCCACAATGACAGCCATCTAGAGAGGCACATAGAACATCGCGTGGATAGGGAAGACCAAAGAGTGCATGCATAGTTTGGATATGCTGATGCCTATGGATAATATGAGTTCATCAACTTACGCAGGCTCGCGAGCGGCGAACCGCCCCAGCATCCTGGATCCCGCCCGTCCTATTAGAGGCTTGACAATCGCTTTCTGTCTATGGAAGGTGCTGATATTCCTGGTCATCGTCTCGTGCCCAGGACTGGGCTACGATACCTCCACAAGCCACCTTTATGAGTACCACGATACCAACAGCTCTGATGTCATGTCAGAGGACATCGAAGATCTACTTCTCACCGTTCCACGAAAGTTCGTCCGGTGGGACTCTATCTACTTCTTGCATATAGCTCAGCAGGGGTATGTCTTCGAGCAAGAGTGGGCATTTGGCTATGGTTACACTCGAGCCTTAGCTTACCTGACTTCCGGTAAAAAAAGCTTCTTTTCTTTAAGCAAACCACTGGTGGCCACTAATTGCCGATGTAGTTCTGCAAACCCTCACCGGCTTGGGAGGAGGGGTTATAATAGCGATTGAGGCGATCCTACTCTCTCACGTCGCACACTACCTCTCCGTTCTTGCGCTCTATAGACTGTCCGTTAATGTATTTGGAAACGACAGTACCACGCAACGACTCATCTGCCTGCTGTCCTCAGCTTTACATATAATCTGCCCCGCCGGAGCATTTCTTTCGGCTCCTTATGGAGAGTCACTGTTCTCGTTCCTGAACATAACTGGTTTCTATCTCTACTCTTCCGCTTACTTGGATAACAAGAATGGCAAGCGTCTGTCCGGCGATTTCAAAACGCTTTTGTCCGCTGTTCTGTTCTCTGCAGCAACGACTGTTCGCAGCAATGGTATCTTAAGCGGGATATTGTTCGCCTATGACGCTTTTCTCCAGCTTCGACGGGTCGTGTCACAGAGTCTGTCATTGAACGCCTGTGCGCACCTGCTGGTTGCGATCGTGAGCGGTTGTATCATTGCTCTGGGGCTCATTCTCCCTCAGTATATCGCTCACACAGCATACTGTGGGGATGACCCTAATTCCCGGCCATGGTGCCAATGGTACGTTCCGAGTATATATGGTTGGGTGCAAAGCCATTATTGGTATGTGATTTCCTAGGTCTGAGCTGCACCAAATACACTAATCACAGGAACAGGAATGTGGGTTTCCTTCGGTATTGGAGTCTCTCGAACCTTCCACTATTTGTTCTAGCGATGCCCATGCTGGCTATACTCTTTCGCTCGTCTTTCTGGGCACTTGACATGGCTGTCCCTTTTATTTATCCAAGGGCTCTCAGTGGGATTGATCACGCTTCATCGTCAGCTACCACCGCCTCATTGCTCCTACGACTGGCTGCGCCTCAGGGAATCTTGGCTTTACTGGCCCTCACCAGCTATCACGTCCAGATCATCAATCGCATAGCTTCCGGTTATCCACTGTGGTATTGGTACCTTGCGTACTTGGTTTCTGGAAATTGGGGCCAAATCCCTCCTTCAATTCAACACAGCCGTACGTTCACAAGTGCGGTGCAGGGCATGGTGGCATATGCTTTGGTGCAGGCCACATTATTTGGGTCATTTTTACCACCAGCCTGAGGTAGCGATCCAAGCTAAGAAGAAGCCACCACATTCTAAATAAATGCATTTTCTAATTCCGCGGCCGATCATATAAAGCTGTCAAACTTTGTATACGAATTATTGTCAAATGAGAAGAACACAAAAAAAAGAAGAAAATCAAGGAAAAGATTTTAGCACTGTATAAATAATGTATTCTGTAAACGTGATGGAGTTGAGGGAAAGTCCTTTGGGCAGGGAAGGATGCCTGTCTGACAACAGCATTACTAGTTAAATTGCCACCCCAAATCCCCCGCCTTTTCTCTGACCTTTCATTTAACCTTTTGCTTTAGCCCACCGATCCTAGCTGAGCGGTGGTGCACGGAGTCTTAATTGGGGTTCTATTTGGTGGTAGGTCGCTCTGGAGTCGGACCCATCGTTAGGCTGCCGGCCGTTACGTTATGTGGAATTATGTCATCACCGATCTGACAAAACTGACCCAGACCCGACTCAATGATACCTCCAACTTCGGTCTGCTACGCGTGAGCTTCAAGATATCCTACACAACCCACACTATTACCATCTTTACCCATCCTTGGATTCGAAGCTCCTCGCTCACAGACAAAGCTCGTGCTCACAATCATTGGGCTTCAGAGTCTTCTCCCTTAACATCCTGTACATTTTAAGCTCGTTCTTTGTTTCGATACTGGAGCTCGTGGTTTCCGATCGCCTTACTAGCGGAGCACACCTAAAACGCATATGCGAAACAAACCGACAGCAGGTCGTTGTTTGGGCATCGATTCTTGCACCTGAGCATTAAATCGCGACCTTCATGTGTAATGTGCGATCTTCAATCTCTCTTCAACTTCTCCGTGGTTGAAGTTTACGATCAAGCCTAGCTAACAAGCTCGAATCCCTAGAACCCGACCTCATCTGAACCATCACCATCCTCGTTATCCTCATTATCCTCCACGAGAACATAAACGCTCGATATTCTATACAGCAATGGACCACTCAGGCTCTAAGCCCATTCTGACATCCGAAAACTTTCACAATACACATCACCTGTCTCGAGCCACCTCTCCAGGAGGTGAGCCTGCGGTCATGAATGGGGACGGTGAGCCTAAGGCGCGAGTCCGCCCACGCACATACCCTTACTTCAAGTATCTACCATACTCGCTCGAGGACGAACCAGAGCGGGATAAAAACTTTCGCGAGATCCTCCGACAACTGTACATAGCAGTGGAAGCTGGAGATTTCAGTCCCGGCGCGGTGCACTGGACAAGAGAGCTCAGAGGGTGGCTGTCACTAAAGTTCGACCCTACTCGGACGCAACGGGTCAATCTTGTGAAACTGTACTATGAACTCTCCCTCGCCCCGGGAATCGATCCCAATGTTGCGGAACGATTTGCGAGCATGTTCATGCTGCTTACCAAGTATGCACCCTTGTTCCAAATCTTTCACGCATCACTAATGACATTCGCAGGCGCAAGCACTATCTGAGACCCGTCAAGGATCTAACGCTGGACTGGAAGCCTTTGTATAGAGAGCTGAAATCCTTTGTTCTGCCGACCGAGTCGGGCTTGGTGCATTCATCGAATCTGAAACGGAACATCAAGACTTTGACCAAACTCTGTGCTTTCGTTCAGCTTTACATTGATCCATGTGAACTGCCGGCGATGCTCGAAGAGTTCCTCCCTCACTATACGACTTCCTTCTCAGAAGGTGCCTTCGTTGTCGTCGGCTTGATCAACCTGATGTTGCCTACATCTCCCCCGCCCGAGTCAAGAGAGGATCTGCTTCCTCAGCACTATATGCCAACCTACTTCCATTTATGGTCGCTGGTTAGTCGGTCGAAGACGTTCGATATTACTTTCTTGGACTACCTTTCTCGCCTTGCTCGGGATTCCCTACCAGCCAGCCATATCCCCTTCTCGGAGCACGGCATTTTTACACCGGATCAATCCTCGCTCATTTTCACCGCTATTTTGCGACTACTAGAGATCCCGGTGGGACAGTCAACCTCTCCCTATAGTGCTCTTGTTGATATTTCTTCCGGGCTGGGTATCATGCTTGACCGTGATACACGAAAGCATCCGGTCGCACATCACATTGCTAGGTGGATTGTGATGTCGCTGTCACCAGCATGCCTCGATGCTCAGGAGTCGATCCTGACCCAGCTCGAAGGCCTTGTTCAGGCGGTAGAGACTTTCTTCCATCCGTCTAACTCTGGCGGCTGGACAAAGACCTTGTCGCAGTTGGTGTACTACCTGGCGGATTTCTTTGTGATGCGTTGGAACCGCGAGCAAACTGGCGAGATGGAGGTCCCACCGGAGCGCAGGTTGACTGAGCCTCTCAAACGTCGCTTCGTGCTGTGCCTGCGCGACGTGATATTCATGGGCATTTATGCCAAAAGTGGCACGGCCATGAGCTTCTCTTTGTCTACGCTGCAGAACCTGGCCTTCCTAGAACCCCACCTCATCCTTCCCGGGGCTCTGCAGCGCATTTACCCGTCGCTGCAAGGACTTGTGGAAGTTCACCGGACCACCTCCTCTCTCCGTGCTCTGCAAGTTCTATCGCGCATCATCTCCAGAACCAAGGGCTACCGCTGCCATATGACTACTCTTCTGGGGCTCGCACTACCAGGAATTGACGCCAATGACCTGGAGAAGTCCTTGCACTCCTTGTCATTCATTCAGGCTGCTTGCTACAATATACCCATGGCCGACTTGACCCAAGGGAGAGAAGATGTGAATTGTAACATGCTTGCAATGCAATGGATCACCGGCGAGATGGAACGCATGGAGGAGGAGGGTGTTGACATCAAATTGAACTATGATACCGAGTTGGACGATGAGACTGAAGAGATGATTCTTCGCTCGTCTACCTGCGGCTTTGGAGACTTCATTGTTTCGTTCTTGGGTCGTGTCTTCACACTTCTGGAGAATCTGCCAGACGTGAGTAGAGTTCGGAATGGCTCTCCTGAAGAGAACATTGTGAACACCCTGCCGGCCACCTTCATGCCACTGCTTTCGTCTCTATCCCCCGAATACTATGATATCGCCTTGTCCAAGGTTGTCGATTTCGTCTCCAACCATGTGATTCATCAAGCTCGCGATGCAATGGCCTTCATCTGTAACTCAGTCTGCAAAGTGAACCCTGCAAAGGCCCTGAAGCGCTTCATCCCCGTACTGACGCAGGCCATTCGTACCGAGATTGACGACAATGGTGCGGGGTCGACCAGAACGACAGGAACAGATGTCCTACCTCGAGACCGTGGCCTGGTGTGGAACGTTAGCATGCTCAGCATGTGCGTCGTTCATGTCGGAGATGCCGTACTGGCTCACAAGAAAGAGCTCTTCGATATAGCCGTCTATATGCAGCAAAAATGTCGGGGAATACCCACAGTACATATCTCCAACTTCATTCACCATCTTCTTCTCAACCTAACGGGTACATATACATCGGACTACTCTCTGTACGAGCCTGACGTTGTCGCTCAAGGCATACAGCCCGAACACTGGAGCTATCAGCAAGATCCTTGTAAACTGAGTGTAAAATGGCACGTGCCGAAACGCGAGGAACTTGAGTTTGCCGTGGAACTCTTCCAGAATCAGGCAGAGTCTGCTCTGAAGCAGCTAAAAGCACTGACCGATGAGACCTCCAGCGTGAAGCGTGATGGGAGCGGTAAAGACTGGTCGGATGAGGTGACTCGGAACCTGGTGCTGTTACGTCTCATTCTTTCCGGTATCTCCGTGCTTCTCGACCCTAATGCTGCATCTACAACTACATCGGCTGGGCTTTCCGACGGGTCGACTGATGTGCAGATGGCGGACTCAAAAGAAGCTCCAAGCGATGATGAGGATCCTGACTCGGCTCTCGATAGCTCTGAGGATTCCGCAGTCAGGGATACTTTCACCTACCCTACTGGGTATCCTTTGACTGAGAATGATAAGCTGTACACAGCCATTCATGACATAAGAGAAAGGGCAGGGTGGGTCTTGCACGACGTGCACAGATTCCTGTCCGACAAGCAAGAGGATGATGTTCCATGCTTCGCAGCTCTTTACTCGGCTTACCGCTCTTGGTTTGTTGACGTTGGCATTGAACGTTCTGCACATGTCCTAGACAGAGTCACTCGACTTCTTGCGGCCGACATCCATCCTTATAAGATGAGTGGTCTGCGAAAGGAATATCCCCGTCCTTTGCTCGTACGAAGGGCGAATGTGTATCATCTGCAACGACTTCGGCATAACGCAGCCCCGCGTCGCCGTTCCAAGCTTGATGAGATTCTACTTTTAGATATTGCCGAGTCCTGCGTATCTCTGTATACCGAAACTCGACGCAACGCTCAAAGCGCAGGAGAGTCGGCTCTCAAGGCTGTCTGGGGATCCCGTCTGCTAGTGATTCCCCCTCTCTTGAAGGCTCTCCAAAAGGGTATTCGGGAGAATGATCATGCTCGTATCAAGGGTGCCTTATTTTCCCTATTATTGGGGAGTGTCGCGAAAACTGTTGGGCGCCACTGGAAGTACGCCCCCGTTCTTATTCGAACATTCATCGACGCGAGCGCTGTAGACAAACCATCTGTGCAGAGAATCTGCTCAAGTGCCGTCTATCAAATCATGGAATACGGGCGTGCCATGGAAAGAATGGCCGTTCTCGATCGAGACATCATCGAGTCGATTGCACCGGGTCAAGACGTCCAGGGTGAGATTGATCAGAAGCGCGATGCTATCAACAAGAAACGCGTCCTTATCGAGAAGAAGAAGGCAGCTTTGGCGGAGGAATTGGTCAATCTTGCTAGGGTATCTCATTGGAAAGTCGCAAGTCGAGCAGCCACAATCGTGATCACTATGGGGCTTAGGTTCGACTACGTTGCAAGCGAAAACCTGGTTGAGCTCGTGACCCAAGGCTCGATTGATGACCACCCGGGACTGCGCGGCATGTACTCACAGGCTCTCATCGCGTTATTCACGATGATAGACGTTCGGGCAATCTGCAGCCACGATTACAAAAATTACATACTTGGCCACCAGCATTTCCCCTCGAAACTCAAAGTCGCAACCAAGCGCGACGATCCAAATTGGACGAAAGAATACTTGGCGAGCTTTGCTAACCCAGAAGCGGAGTACTACGTTGATCATGATTTCCCTGGTTGGCTTGTTTGGGCAGATAGTATGCCGGCGTACAAGTCGAATGTGAAACGTGATATCGAATATGACGAAGTCGAGTGGAAGGTTCGGGCGCATATGGGTAAACTTTTCGACAGAGCCTGGTTCTCCAAGTTCTTCATGTATCTGAAGCAGGAACCCCGAGACCCTTCGGCTGACAAGTTCCGCATGCCCTGCGCAATGATGCTTCTCTACGCCTTCGAGCTGATGCTCCGTGACGAGCTTACAGCAGCTACGTTCAAAGACATCCAGGAAGAAATCGAAGCTGTCTTTGAGGACGGCAGTGACAAACACCAACATCGCGCTACTGCAGAGATTCTCGGGGCTTTGGTGAGCTCTGTGGCCGATACCAGCGTGGAGAAGCGGACTTTGGTCTGGGAATATGCCTTTCCCATTGTGCAGAAAATCTTCACTGATGGCCTGACTCCCGAAAACTCTGGGTACTGGACAACCTTCTTGCATATGATCCTACAGTGCCGAGACCCACGCAGAGCTTGGCCTCTCGTCGACTGGCTGGCAAGTTTCCGGCTGGACATGAGCACCAATGCAGCATTCAAGGAAAGCTCGAAAATCAATCTCTTGCATCAGTCAATCATTGACGCAGGTTGGCATTTCCAAATGGAGAAGCCGATTGTCGAGGATTTCCTTGGACATCTTGATCATCCTTACAAGGGAGTTCGTGAAGCCATGGGACAGACCCTCGCAACTATCTTCCGCACCAGGTATCATGAATCTTACGCTGACCTGAAACGCCTTCTCGATGCGCAGAAGTCCGCGTCTTCCGTGGGTACATATCCTTATCTTCCCACCGAAGATTTTACCAAGATGATTCGTGAAGTCTTCAGCCGTATTGAGACATGGCGGCAAGCCCGCACACCCGGCCAACAAACGCCTTCGTCCTATACTTCTGGATGCAAGACCGTTTTGCTGTGGCTCGATTCCACCCTTTCGTCCCATGAATGTACACAATTGGTGTCGTTCTTCCCTGATCTGTTCACGGGGCAGCTTCTACACATGATGGATGTCAAGGAAGACCCAGAGCTCCAATCCCTGGCCTACCACGTCTTCCGTCACCTGCCTAACATTCCATACCCCGCTGAGCATAACTCGGAGTTTATCAAAACCCTCATCCACATCGGGCAGACATCTCCTTCATGGCACCAACGTCTGCGTGTCATGATCAACATTCAGATCATATACTTCCGTCGTCTGTTCTTACTGTCTGCGGGCGATCGTGACAAGCTTTTTGAGTGCGTGGCTAGCATGCTCGAAGACCCGCAGCATGAGGTGAGAGTGGGAGCATCTGCCACCCTGTCTGGAATGATCCGTTGCTCTCCTATTTCGCTCCGGGCCGAGATGGTTGCCAGACTGAAGAAGCGATTTACTAAGGTCTTGGTTGAGAACCCTCTTCCTAAGAAGCCCAAGGCACTCCGCTCGGGTATCTCAACGCCAGTCTCCTCTGGAGCTGGTACTCCGACCCCAGAGCACACCCGACTCATCATCTCTAGACACGGTGCAGTCCTGGGACTTGGGGCGCTCATTCAAGCGTTCCCCTACAACAGTCCACCGCCCAGGTGGATGCCTGATGCTCTGACCACACTGAGCGTCCGAGCAGCTAGCGACCCTGGCATTGTCGGATCGAGTGTCAAGTCTATTATCAGTGAGTTTAAGAAGACCAGACAAGATACGTGGCACATTGACGCGAAGGTAAGCTATCGCCAAACCCTCCCGTAAGGTCACTCTCGCTAACATCGCCACAACAGGCCTTCACGTCGGACCAGCTCGAGGATCTTTCTGGTGTGCTCTGGAAGAGTTACTTTGCATGATGCAGCTGTTGCACCAAGCGTGAATGAACGAATATACGACAAATTGACAGGGTTGTTTTGCGACGCTCGGTTGATGACTTCATCGTTTCCTTAGGTAGTTGTAACAGTAGACATTCGTTTCTGTTTGAAGACCGCATGGGCATTGATTTGGGTTAAATAATCACTAATATTATCGATGACTCGTGATGCACTACTTTTCCATCGCATGTCCGAACTCCTTTAGGAGTAGTGTACTCACAGTAACAACAGACCTTACTCGATTAGTCATATCTTAGTAATTGACAGTGGTGGCTTCCATGTCATGTGACATGAAGCAGCCACGCGGCTCTCCGAACCGGGCTTGATCTCAAGTGCATCATCGAGCTTCTACCGAACTCAGGCGTCGGGGCTCTTTCCATTAGCTCAAAGCTGTTTCGTTATCATACGAAAGCTTCTATCGTTACTCTATTCTATACATTCTCTGATAACAGCGCCACTGCGCACTTAGCCCTTGCTGTGGTTAGGTACTGCTGCAGGCAGCTTCCCCCGTCACCATGGCTCCAAGGGACACCTTCTTCCGGTCTTCGGACATGAGCCTGACCCAGCTTTACATTGCCAATGAAATCGGTAGAGAGGTTGTCAGTGCTCTGGGTGAACTTGGTCAGGTTGAATTCAGAGATGTAAGTCTCATCAATATCTCTCATTTACGGGTGTCACTCGACTGACCGGCTGGCTGCCGCTAGCTCAACCCCGACACCAATGCCTTCCAACGTACCTTCACAAAGGAGATCCGTCGATTGGACAATGTGGAGAGACAGCTGCGTATGTGACACGATGAAGTCAAGAACGGGAAGCTGAGGCGGTACACTAACTTGTTTCTCGTGCCAGGCTATTTCCACAGTCAGATGGACAAGGCGAGCATCCCCATGAGATCCTCCTCTGAATTCTCGGATACATTGGCAGCGCCCTTGGCTTCGGAGATCGATGAACTGGCAGAACGGAGCGAAAGCCTCGAACAGCGGATTGCCTCTTTGAACGATAGCTACGAGACCTTGAAGAAGCGTGAGGTGGAACTCACAGAGTGGCGTTGGGTTCTGAGGGAGGCCGGTGGTTTCTTTGATCGCGCCCACAGCCACACCGAAGAGATTCGCCAGTCTTTCGACAATGACGAGGCCCCACTACTTCGTGACGTCGAACACCAAGGTACCAACGGCGATGCGCAGGGCCAACAGTCCTTCCTGGAGATGAATATCGGCTTCGTGGCGGGTGTGATTCCCCGGGATCGGATTGGCGCCTTTGAGCGAATCTTGTGGCGTACGCTGCGTGGTAACCTCTATATGAACCAGTCTGAGATCCCCGAGGCCATCATCGACCCCTCGACCAACGAGGAGTCTCACAAGAACGTGTTCGTCATCTTCGCCCATGGAAAGAGTATCATCGCCAAGATCAGAAAGATTTCCGAGTCTCTCGGCGCTTCGTTGTACAATGTCGATGAGAACAGCGAACTCAGACGCGACCAAATCCACGAAGTCAACACCCGCTTGAGTGACGTTGGGAACGTCCTCCGCAACACGAAGAACACGCTCGACGCGGAGCTTACACAGATCGCTCGCTCGCTCGCAGCTTGGATGATCATTGTCAAGAAGGAGAAGGCAGTTTATGATACTCTTAACAAGTTCTCTTACGATCAAGCTCGCAAGACCCTCATTGCCGAGGCTTGGTGTCCGACCAATTCATTGGCCTTGATCAAGTCGACCTTGCAGGATGTCAACGACCGTGCTGGATTGAGCGTGCCCACTATTGTCAACCAAATCCGAACCAACAAGACGCCCCCAACCTACATGCGCACGAACAAATTCACCGAGGCCTTCCAGACTATTGTCAATGCCTACGGTATTCCCAAGTACTCCGAAGTCAACCCCGGTCTTTACACTGTCGTTACGTTCCCCTTCCTGTTCGCAGTCATGTTCGGTGACTTCGGTCATGGTACACTGATGTTCTTGGCGGCCTCTGCGATGATCTTCTGGGAACGCAAGTTGCAGAAGACGAAGTTGGATGAATTGACGTACATGGCTTTCTACGGCCGTTACATCATGTTGATGATGGGTATCTTCTCCATGTACACGGGTCTCATTTACAACGACATCTTCTCCAAGTCATTCACTATCTTCTCCAGTGCTTGGAAGTGGCCTGAGGACATCCAGCAAGGACAGACTGTGAACGCGGCGCTGAAGGGCAGCGATCGCTATCCATTCGGTCTCGACTGGAACTGGCACGGCGCGGAGAATTCCCTGCTTTTCACCAACAGCTTGAAGATGAAGATGAGTATCGTTCTTGGTTGGTCCCATGTAAGTACTTGTCCTTTGATCCTCTGATAACGACTTTTGTTCTAACTCTCGGCAGATGACTTACGCTCTATGCCTGCAATATGTCAATGCGCGTCACTTCAAGTCCAAGGTCGATGTTTTTGGTAACTTCATCCCGGGAATGATCTTCTTCCAGTCTATCTTCGGTTACCTCGTCCTCACCATCCTCTACAAGTGGTCTGTGGACTGGGACGCTCGTGGACAGTCCCCTCCGGGTCTCTTGAACATGCTCATCTTCATGTTCCTCAGCCCTGGAACTGTCGAGGAGCAACTGTATCCTGGCCAAGCTGGTGTTCAGGTCGTTCTTCTGCTCCTCGCAGTCATTCAGGTGCCCATCATGCTTTTCTTTAAGCCATTCTACCTCCGCTGGGAGCACAACCGTGCTCGGGCTCTCGGATACCGGGGTCTCGGCGAGCAGTCTCGTGTTAGCGCACTGGAAGATGACGGTGACCTGGATGGCCGCGCCCCCGGAGGCCGCGACAGCCTGGCCAGCGACGGCGAGGGAGTGGCGATGATCGCCCAGGATATCGGCGACGAGGAGCACGAGGAGTTCGACTTCTCCGAGATCATGATCCACCAGGTGATCCACACGATCGAGTTCTGCCTGAACTGTATCTCCCACACCGCGTCGTACCTGCGTCTGTGGGCGCTCTCCCTGGCCCACCAGCAGCTGTCCATCGTGCTGTGGGATATGACCATCGGCGGCGCCTTCAAGCAGGAGTCCGGCACCATGCGCGTCCTCATGATCGTGGTCACCTTCTACCTCTGGTTCACCTTGACCATCGCGATTCTGTGTGTCATGGAAGGCACCAGTGCCATGCTGCACTCACTCCGTCTGCACTGGGTCGAAGCCATGAGCAAGCATTTCATGGGCGAAGGCTTGCCGTTCAGCCCGTTCAGCTTCAAGACCCTCCTCGAGGAGGATCCGGTGGATTAGTTTCTTTTTGTCTTTTGGTCGGGTGGTCGTCTGTATCTGTTGATCACAGTCGCAGATTGTACTGTACATTCCTTTCGTTTTTTCCGTGTGTGTCCTCTGTTCCTAGCTAGCGTCTTGTCTTGGATTAGACCGTTTACTCGCTCGGGTTAGTAACTAGAGCATACGATACGATACTTGCAATCAGATCGTAGGAACTATTGCTCCCTTAGACTGTGTACTCCCTACATCAACTTCTGCCTTTCTGGATGGCGGATGAACGGGTGGGTAGTAGAGAGTAGGATAGGTGACATCATCCCCCACTGCTGTCGATCTCTCTTTTCAAAACCAAAAACCAGGATTGAGCCGATGTTCAAGTAAACAAACATTACTGATTCCCTGGAACGTACACGCCTGGTCATGATTGAGAAGTGAGACCAATTTTAGGAAGAGAGGGGAGGGCTGGCTGAGAGGGCCGATTCAAACAAGTCATTTCTCATTGGTGGAAATATATAACGGCGGAGGACGAAGGAAATGCTCCAAAAGGTGATAACGACTACTTGCCCATGCCAGTACAAGCTAACCACTTATTCACTTCCGGGATTAAGATAGCTGGGTGAAAATAGCTACAGTAAACTGAAAGGACGCTGGATATTTTGAAATGTTTTTCTTGGATTTCAATTGTTTTTAGAGCGTATCCTTAATTACAACGTAAATCGTGACATGCTGAAGAAGAACTCCCTGGCCAGCCCCGGAGCACCGTACCCATTTGATTGTAGTGGGGGGGTATTTAATTATTCGTTTTTTGTTGAATCAAGAACTTATTTCTTGTGCTGGTTGTAGGTGTCGATGATCTTCTGGACCTCGTCCTTGGAGCCGAGGAAGACACCGCTGCGGTCGTGGATGTGCTCGGGGACGACCTCGAGGAGACGTTCCATGCGGGAGTTGACGGCGAGACCGCCGGCGTTCTCGAAGAGCATGGCCATGGGGGCGCACTCGTAGAGGATGCGGAGCTTGCCCTTGGGGCTCTTCTTGTCGGCGGGGTAGGCGAAGACGCCGCCGTAGAGGAGGGTGCGGTAGGCGTCGGCGACCATGGAGCCGATGTAGCGGGCGCTGTAGGGCTTCTGGCCCTCGCCGGGGAACTTGAGGGAGTGGAAGTAGGCGTTGCACCAGTCGTCCCAGTACATGCTGTTGCCCTCGTTGACCGAGTAGATGGCGCGCTTGGCGGGCAGCTGCATGTCCGGGTGGGTGAGGATGAACTCGCCCAGGGAGTTCTCCATGGTGAAGCCGTTGACGGTGCCGTTGCGCATGGTGATGACCAGCTGGGCCGAGGCGCCGTACATGGTGAACCCGGAGGCGACCATCTCCGTGCCGGCGCGCAGCAGGTCCTTGGCCGTCACCTGCTTGCCGGCGCCCAGCACCTCGTCGGGCAGGCGGAAGATGCCGAAGATGGTGCCCACCGAGACGCCTGCGTCCAGGTTGGAGGAGCCATCGATCGGGTCGCACACCACCGCGTAGCGCGCGTCCGGGTGCTCGTCGAAGATGATCGTCTCCTCCTCTTCCTCGGAGACCAGGATCCGGCACTTGCCCGACCCCTTCATCGCCGCGATGAAGATGTCATTGCCGATGACGTCAAGCTTCTTCTGATCGTCGCCCGTCGTGTTGGACGAGCCCGCCAGCCCCGTCAGGTTGATCAGCGAGGCGCGACGGATGTAGTAGGCAATCGACTTGAAGGCAAATTGCAGAGCGTGGCAGAGAAGTCTGTACGAGTTTGGTGTGTTCAGTATTTGGGTTGGCAAGGTTGCTGGGAGTTATGCGCGCGCGCACATGCCGGGAGGGGAAGAGGGGAGGAAGCCGGGGGGGGGGGACAAAAACTCACGTGAAGTCACCGGTGGCCTCGGGGACCTTGGCCTGCTCTTCAGTGAGCCATCGGGTGAGGGTGACGATGTCGGTGTTGATGTTTTCCTGTCCAACCGGGGGAGCACCAGAAGCCATGATGTATGGATGTGCGTGTGTATGTGGGGGAGTGAGTTGAGAAAGGTAGTAGAGCGAGAGAGAGCTGCGCAACTATAAACTTCCGATTCCGGCGAAGTGGGAATTGAGACTGGTCTTAAGTAAACTGCAACCTCGGTTCAACGGAGAAAGCAGGAAGATACGGAGATAGTCGTTCGAAGGACTGAGGATTGGGGGAGAGGGGTGGTGCCGAAGGAGGGGTGATTTTGGGGAATATGTATATGTATGGAAGTGGGGTTTCGAGGCGAGAGAAGATGGGAAGTCACAGAGAGAGAGGAATTGATCCAAGCAAGTGTGTTCAGAAAATAAGAAGAGTACGTGAAGGAGTTGAGCAGAGGAACATTGGCCGGACTTTAAAAGGAGCAATCTTTTGCCGGAGAGGGAGGAAGGAGTGGTTCTGGCTAACGTCACTTGAACAAACCGGATGGGAAAAGACTATCAATTGACGCAATGACTGAAATGACTGAAATGGGGATAGTTTTCGTCATTTCCCCGTCTCTTCTCCGCTTTCGGTCGCAGCCCGAGTTTTCCCTTCAGTCCCTGTCCGGCTGCCCGAAGGGCTAAGCAAGTAAGCAGCAACAAACCCCCGACTTTCCCCGCGTCACCGAGAGAGTACTGTGTATGTATAGCCAGCTGGGCCATGGGCCAACTGAGAGTCCAGACTCTGGAGCTCTACAATTGATCAGTGCATGTTGAGCTTCGCTATTGGGTACTGACTACTGTTGATTAACTACTGTGTCCATCCCAGGGGCAGGACATTCTTGCCACCGCAATCGACTCTCGATTGTTGTTTCCAGCACTCAAAAAGGAACAGCAGTTCGGTCAACCGGCAATGGTTCGACCCAAAACTAGTAAATTCTTCAGTCATAATCCAGACATCAAGTAACAAAACAACATCAATAGGTGGAAGGAAAAATACTCGTATCCTCGCGTTTGAAGAGAGCACTGAAGTGGGTTTGGGCAGGTCAGCAGACACGCGGAGATTGATCAGCCCGCATCGAACTATTCCGAACTATTCAAAGAAAGAAAGAAAGAAATGAGTCGAGACCCGACTGGAAGACTGAGAGAGTCTCGGCTATCTTTCCCTGCCAGGATCCTCAACATCCTCGAGTCCAGGCCTGACCGCTCCACATTCCGCCTGCCAGTTATGAAGGCTGCACCGGCAGAATGGCCGAGGCTGACCTAAGCAGCCGACGCGCATCTCGCTTACGCCGACTAACCGCATGCAGGCAGGCTAACTCCTCGGTAAAAATTGGCTCCGGGCGGGAGAGCTTTAAAAAAGTTCAACTCGCTTTTCGTTTTGGCTTTTTTTCCCATCACAACAACATTCTCTGTTGCAATGTCTGTCTGCCTATTATGATCGTGGCTTCAGATATGACACAGCTTGTAGAACTATTTGCTCACCATGCACATTTGGAACTGACACATCTGGTTCTTCGCTGAACAGGATTTTTTTTGGTAAGTGCTACTCCAGCATCGAGATCACCCCTCATCCCATTCTCCCATCATCCTTCTATGATGATACCTACAACCACATTTCAAACTAGAGTCTTTGACCCATCCGGGGAATGAAAACTCACTTGTTTGCACGTCAGTCTGATGCATTTGCGAAGGACTTGATCTTGTTTCTTGACCACAGTCGAGCTGTTGGCATGGTGCTAATCAGTCTACAGAACACTTACCTTTTAGCTTCACTTCGACCACGACTCGCGTCTAACATCATCACTCATGGTATGTGCATCTCCCCCATTCCTGGCACTGCCCCTCATTCCACTATTCATATGATGCTCTAAACGTTTAAATACGCTGGAAATTACCGACTGAGGCCTTCGGGTCCTGGACGAAATCAAATGGCTAAATCTGATTCAATTTACACTACTCTTTGCTTGTCAACCCTCATGAATCAACTTAGCATTGGCTAACGGTTCAAAAGATTTTCACAGGTTTTTATATCACAGGCAATGCTTGCGAATGCAGCCAAGAGGGTAAGCCATCCACGTTTTCCTTGCCTCTTCAGATGCGACTTTCGAAGATGAAACGGCACTGGGCTCCGACGGCGTTAAGACATAGCGTCCGGTCATGATGGATATGCCCTTTTTGTGGCAGGCCTAGAAAACCTCGCCCACTGAGATACTCGCTCAAAGCACACATTGTGTCAGCGTTGATGTAAAGCCTGAGGCTGATTATCTTGAGAAGTAATCATAGGCCACACATAGTAACACCTGCCATCGAATATCAAAAGGTAATTATATCCTGGTTTTTGTCCGTTCCGTCCCCAACACAATGATGATTCCCTTAGATGACGAGTCTTATTGGAGTTATCCATGCAGACAACATCTTTTTTTTAACCATTCATGCATTTCTGATATGGTTGTTGCGAGAATCTTTGCATCTCGAATCTCTACTGGACGTAGCTGACTCGCAACTTGATAGATATTGTCAATTCCAGTGTGCCTGGGTTAGCCCTGCCTGGGAGAAAGAGGTCTAAGTATGTCACACTGCCTCTTCCCTTTGCCTGGCTTCCTTGCATGATGATACGACATAAAACAAAGACAAGCATATGTCCAAGCCTGCTTTGCTGGCCGAGACGACACCTGTCATGACTGACTCGTCGCCGTGCTTCATGATCATCTCATTCACGTACCACGCTCAGGACTAATAAACTGAGCAGGTATCCGTATAGCCGTGACCTCAGTCTTTGGTCCTGAGGTTGGAGCTTGACTTGGTCTTGATGTTGACTGAGTTTGAGCTCCAACCTTCCCCAAGATGAATGTAAGCCGAACTCGATCCCTTCTTGTCCTTTAGCACCTCTTTTCCAATGATGATTTATTCTTTATTTATCACGACGGTCAACATAAAGAAATACCTTGATGACCACCGCCTGTGACAGGGCATTTATCTGAAATGGAGAAGACTTGTTACTTTTTTCTTTTTCTTGTTTCTGCATTTCGAATGAGTGACTTGATCAAATGCTAATATAGCGTTCAGTGACTTCTAGGATACGCAATCTCGAAGACAAGAAGACTGGCGCCCGTCTCTGAACTAGCGTAGCAGCTGAGCAAGATGCGAGGGCTGTCAAATGTCAGATTCATCTAGATTTCTTAGAGTGCATTAGTCAAAAGCTTGTGATTTGAGATTATAATAGAATCTTCTGACACTGACTATACCTAATCATTCCTAATTTGTATTTCCTTGTAGCACTTGGGGTC